GTCAAACATCAGAAGTTAATCAGGTGAGCTAATCTAATTGATGAATTGCACCTCAGTATGCAAACCAAAAAATACTTACCTCTCCTTGCTCTCTCTTTTAAAGTCTCAAAATAATCTTCACTCCAGAGCTCTGAGTGCGGTTGGTAGGAGGACAGAAGAAAGAAAAGTGGCAGAGATGAAGATGTTAAGGCAAAGATGCGAGCACTCTCAAGTCTCAACTTTCAATGGTGGTAAATAAGTGATATATGTAAATATATACCAAACATAAAAGCATGAAGCCTATTTTGTAGACTTTGAAAGGTAGTCAGTTTTCAAAGATTCAGCAGCGGGTGGTAAGGCTCGGCTCAGATCAGACTTGGAAGCTGACATAGGCGGAAGCCTATCAATCGGAATTGATCTAGGTTTACCAATATTCAATCTGTCAAATTATCGAAAACCTAAAATCAACACTAGTTTAAATTACCAACACATGAAACAAGATAAACTAGCCTACTAATTCGATCACCAATACATGGTGACCAAACGAATTAGGTTTGAGAGTAAAATCTCATTTTCATTAATAAAAAACAAACGAGCTTTACAATGACGGCTAATCCCTTTGAATAGAAAAGAAAGAAATTAAAGAAACCCTAATCAACTAAAGTTAAATTACTAAAATACCCATTATGATAAAACCCTATCATATTTACTAAAATAACCATTATGATAAAACCCTATCATTATGATAAAACCCGGAAAGACATCTATTTTTTTAATTTATTTTAGCCGTCATAATTCTTCCAGGGTTGGTAAAAATTGATCCTCGAATTTTGGGTGAAGGTTTGCCCCGATCAAACGGAAATGTTGCTAATGCCCGCCAAAACTTGAGTTGGCATTTCATCCATTGCAAATAGGGGAGCAAAAACAAACCAACGGAGACAATGTCAAACTCGAAAGTAGCAGTAACCCTTTCTAAGTACAGTAGAGTTGTAATAGTGAAAAGAAAAGAAGAACTATGTTGCCCGTGATCATCAAAGGGTCGCAGGTAGTCAGAAAATGGACAAAAGCCAATCAAATGAGTTGAAAAACCCAAGCAGATGGGTGGAACCGTTACTACAATAAGCGATGTATCCATCCTTGAACTTGTACGGCACAATTTGTTCACCTCGTAGCTTTGAATGTTATTTTCAATTCCATAATCCATAAAATCACCGACAACCACATGAGAAGACGCATCGATCTCCTTCTGTTCGTCTGGGTAAACATCAAAGATTGGTAGAAGACGCCAATCGATCGTGTGGTTTTCCCATGGATCATAATCTAACACATAAAACAACTGGCAGTGATCGACCCCTGACGTTCAGAATTCCTCAAAGCCACAAGTATGCGCAGTAGACAAATCATCTACACCGGCATCCCATGCGCACTTGTCATCATCATAATTACCCCTCCAACGGCTAGAAGCATGGGAAGAATGGCTAGAACAAGAGGAAGATCCGCTGCTATTTTCCGGACCCCTCAAACCATCGGAACCCTTGCCAACTCTGCAACTCTGCAATCGTTGGTGTCGAACCCTAATCGTTGCAACTCTGCAGCAACGGCCTCTTCCACACGTCGACTAGTGGCAGCAACAAGTCGATTCTCCAAAGCGGCCATGTACCATTCAAATTCTCGTTGAAGCTCCTGTCACAGCTCCTCATAAAGATGGAGATTGTTCTTGGGCGCCATCTCAAACCAGGAGAAAAAGAAAACTAGCAAACATGACTTGACACTCACAAGCAGTCCAAAAATTGATCCAGGAAAAAGAAACCGAGCTATGATCCAAGTGATGCAAGCGGAAGCCTATCAATCAGAATTGATCTAGGCTTACGAATATTCAGTCCATCGAATTATCGAAAACCTAAAATCAACACTAGTTTAAATCACCAACACATGGATTAAGATAAACTAGTATACTAATTTGATCACCAACACATGGACCAAACGAATTAGGTTTGAGAATAAAATCTCATTTTCATTAATAAAAAGAACCAAACTTTACAATGACGGCTAATCCCTTTAAATCAAAAGGAAAGACATAAAAGAACCCTAATCAACTATCCTTAAACTACTTTTGCACCTCCGGCTTCGGTATAAGAAGGGTTTTTTTAGCTGGTCGTCAGCCAGATTATTTCTATTGTCTGTTGTTTATGTTCTATCCGCTACTGATCGATATTGTAATAATGACATAAATGCAGATTGTTTGGTTTAAAAAAACTTAAATTACTAAAATACCCATTATGATAAAACCCCAATTTACTTATTTATTTTATTCTATCTGTCATCAGAAACTATATAGGAGCAACTGATTGGAGTAACAGGAGATGAGATCTTATTGAATCAGGAAACGGAATTATACAAAGAGTTTATTAAAACCAGTAAAGCTAAGAGAGTTTCCTTCAACAAAAAGCAAAGGAGCCTTGGATGAAACAGGGAGATTCAAACAGCTCTTTTTTTCATGCCAAGAAGAGGATCAAGAATATGCGTAACAGGATTAGCTCTTTAGTCAAGGAGGATGGTGAATTGGTTACAGATTGGCCTAAAGTTGAAGATCATTTTATTGGTTTTTTTCGGAAATAGTTGGGACAAAGCAGTTGGAGACAAACTTCTCGGAGGGAAATCTTTAAACTTGGGCCTGTGTTAGACTGGAAACAACAAGTGAGTTTACTCCAATAGGCGTCACCTCAGGAAGTGAAAAGGGCTATACGGGGGTATTCACAGCTGAAAGAGTCCAGGCTTGGATGGTTATGGCAGTGGTTTTTTACAAAGGGGCATGGCCAGTAATCAAGGAGGATTTCACTTATTCCCGAAAACAGTTCTCCCCAAAATGCAACGGAATATAGTCCAATTGCTTGTTGCAATGTGGTCTATAAGTGTATTTCTAAAATTAGTTGTGCTAGATTGAAACCTGTTTTAACAAAATTTGTTGACAAAAATCAAAATGCCTTTGTAAGTAATAGGTTAATCCTTCATAATATATTACTTACTCAGGACTTCATTAAATTGTATGGTCGTATCAATATTAGTGCAGATGTTTGTTAAAGATTGATCTTCATAAAGCCTATGACTCAGTTGAGTGGTGCTTTATAGAAGCGATGTTAGAAGGATTTGGTTTTCCTAGTTCTTTTTCCCAGAATGTCCTAGAATGTGTTAAGTCCCCCTCCTTTTCTGTTGCGTTAAATGGGGTCAACGGAAAATTGAGACAAGGAGATCCTATGTCCACTATGTTATTTGTGTTGGTCATGGAGTATTTTACTCGACTTATGAACGAGGCAGCTTCTAATAAGCGATTTCAGTTCCATCCACAGTGTAAGGGTTTGGGATTAAAAAATATCTGTTTTTATCTAATGATCTTCTGCAAGGTGGATATCTATACTGTGTCTAAAGTTATAGAGGTTGTGAAGAGGTTTTCTAATACTGCATGGTTAGTAGCTAATCAAGCTAACTTAGAAATCCTTTTTGGAGGAGTTTTCGAGGAATTAATGGGCCAGTTGTGTAGTTTGACAGGGTTCTGTATGGAAAAATATTCGATGAAATATCTAGGGGTTCCTATACCTCCAAGGAAATGGAATAAGGTAGATTGTGAAGTTTGGACTGAGAAAATTGCTGCTAAGATTAGATGCTCGAGTACTGAGCATTTAAGTTACACTTGGAGGCTATAGTTGGTTAATTCTATGCTAATGTGAATGAATAATTTTTGAGCCTCTATTTTTATCTTACCTCATAGTGTCCCACAGCAAGTAAACAGGTTATGTGGATGCTTTCTTTGGGGTATAAAGGACAATGGCAAAAGCCTGGCACTTGTGAGCAAGGATAAAGTCTATCGACGAAAGAAAGAAGGGGGGCTTACTATTCGAGATGTCAAGACTTGTAATGAAGCTGCATTGATCAAACAAGTATGGTGCATAAACAACATGGCGCTGCCGAGCAGGACAATAATTTCTGGATCAAATGGATCCATAAATAGTATATAAACAGGCACAACTTCTGGCATATGCAACAAACGCAGAATTCTAGTTGGCATTGGAGAACACTGTTGAAGGCCAAAGATAGAGTTAGAGATAAACATGAAGGGTTAAGGTGGACACATACAGCATCAGGTATATACTCTCTTACTTCTGGGTATAATTGGTTAGTGGGGACGGCTGATGAAATACCTGCAATTGTGTTTATATGGGAGAGATTTAATGTGGCCAAGCATTCCTTTATTGTATGGATCTTTTGGCAAGACAGATTGCTCACCTAAGACAGGTTGGTGAAAAGAATATGTTACATGATAAGTTGGAATGTGTACTTTGTCAGAATGTACAAGAATGTTTTCCTCATCTTTTCTTTGGCTGTGGCTTTGCATCTGAGCTGCTGAAAGCTGTTGGTAATTAGTTATCTGTTGATTTGCGGGGTGTGTAAAATCAATGGAGGCTTCATGTATTGAGAGTGTGGAAGCAGCATAAGCTAAGGAGGAACATTTTCTTTTCGATTATGGCTGATGTGATTTATCATGTCTGGGAAGAAAGGAACAAAAGGCTCTTTACTGGAAAAGAAAGAACATCGGAGACGGTACTCATGATCATTAAATAGGAGGTCCAATGGAGGATTGAGCATTGTATTGGACAAGTGAATTCTGCTAAGGTAGAAGGAATTGTGAGAAGTCTATTTAAGATGCTAATGTATAGTATTGTTTTGTTCAGTTGAAGATAGTCAGGAAAAGGGTAGTTTATTGGTTGTAAATATAACTGTTTGCTCCATATCAATATATATTTACATTTTAACCAAAAAAATTATTTAAACTAAATTTCACGAGTTTAGTTAAGAGGCTGTATGGAAAGTTTTTATTTTATATTGGAATTTGGGTTTAAATGGGCCTCCAAAAATTTTTTTGATCCGTTAAAGGTTGTCTATACAGGGCTTAAATGTCTCCTCATCCTCATCACTATATAAATAGTGTGTTGTATTTATCTCGTGGTCACACACATGTTTTTCACGCATAACCCTCGGTCGGCTCCTTCTCCAGATTAGTTCAGCACAATTCAGTTTTGGGTGTGTATCGGTTGCTTCAAAAAAATCCACACAAGATCTAATTTTTTTTTGGAAGTTAATTATTTCGTTCAGAAAATTCCACACAAGATCTAAAAAAATCCACGCATAATCATCTTGTCAGTGTTTTCTCTTGCAGATCAACATGGATCGTCTCCATAATTCATCATCCAAGCCTCCTTCTGAATCGTGAGTCCTCAAATTCGCTGCAATTTTTTTATTTCTGATTTCAACTTTGTGGTTTTTTTTTGGGTTAAAAGTGAATTTCATCATTTGTGTTATGTTTAGATCTTGGTGATGATGATATCGATGTTCAGAAATTTTAATACCTATGTTTTTTCTCTTTGTGATGTTTGAAATTCTGTGTAACTGTATTTGATTTCTTGACCATCTTGGTTCACTTGAATTTAGTGAAAATGTGTCATTAATATAGTGTCTTTGATATTTCTACTTTTCTGATCTGACGCCACTTTTTGTTGCCCAAATGAATTAAACCGTTTTTCCTTCAAAATTTTGTGGTCTTTCACTCTCTTGGCAATTTAGAAAATGGTGATTTGACCAAAGTTTTGATATTTTATGCACATGGGTAACTTATGCATGAATTATCATTTCTGAGTGTGCTTATTTATTTTCGTTTTTATTGAGCATATCACGGTTTCCTTAGATAGAATGATATTTTCGAGTGTACTTTAAGGCGGATGTATTGTAGATCAATTCAATGGCACTTATTATTTGTTGGTTAAATACTTTTCTAGTGATGATTATATCCCAACATTCAGACTTAGATTTCCCGTTTTGATAATGCATATTGAACCTTTGGCTTATCTTTTATAGAATCTATAGCACGAATGGTTATCATGCGGTTCTCATTCGCAAATTTTCCCATTTTGAATATGTAAACATGATTTCTTTATTTATTTATTTTTTTGTAAACTATGCATCTACTCTTGAGTGGTATGGAAGATCTTGGGTTTTGGGGCGTGGTTTATTTTTTAGTTAACTCATAAAACTAAGGAGCCAATATTGGTTTTTCCACTTGGGTATAGTACAATATTTCTCGTTTTCTATTGAGTTTGGAGCAAATTGTTAATTGCTCTCCATTTCCTAATTTGAAGTGCCAGGCAGAAGCGCCCAATTGTATATGACACAACAGATGCCATAAATTATATGAGGGAAGTTAGGGACACCTACTTAGATCAAAGAGAGAAATATGATGAGTTTATTGTCCTTATGAGGGCGTATAAAGATAAAAGGTGTATCTCTCAAACTTTCTCGAACACCAAGTTTTTTAATTTCATATATTTCGTGAATCAATCCCATTTAATTTGTCTAACTCGTTGATACATTTTGCAGGGTTGATGATCTGGGTGTCATTGCTGGGCTAAAAAAACTGTTTGTAGGAAATCGTAACTTACTTCTTGGATTCAACAAATTTTTACCCCAGGGGTATGAAATAACCGTTGATGATGAAGAAGAGGGTAACCCCAATGAGAAAATTAGGGAATCCGAGCTGGCTCTAGGTTTCGTCGAGAAGATAAAGGTTATGTTTACTTCCAATTTGTGCACACCGTAGTTTCCTTTCAAAAAATTGTGGTTCTTTTTGTTGAACTCTGAGAGAGTTTCAATTTTATGTTTTGGGTTAGTTTTTAAAATAGAACCTTTTGGATTGTTTTGTTTTGCAGAAACGTTTTGAAAGTAACAACCATGTCTGCAATTCTTTCCTACACCATTTGGATGCATACAAACATGGACGCATGAGCTTTGATGAGGTCTACCGTGAGGTTTGTATCCATTTCTACTTAATTTGTGTATTATTAATATTATTATTATTTTGTTTGGCATATTCATCCTTTATAACTTACAAATATTTTGCATTTACGTTCCACAGGTTGCTTCACTTTTCAAGGACCACCCAGATCTGTTGTCCGAGTTCACAAATATATTCTGAGAATTGATTTCTCATCTCTTATGTATTACTAAATGACTAGATGGGATTAAACTTGTTTGATATGGATGGATATTATACCCTTATGTCCTGTTTGTTATGAATTTGTGAGATGTTAAACTTTTGTAAGATGAACATCCAAAGTTGACATTATGTTACTTTTTAAAATAATATTATGGACAAAGCTGTTACATCTCTTCTCTGCCGCTGAACTCAATTTCCTAGAAATGGTTTTTTTTTCATAACACCTATAAATGTATAAAATTATCAGTTCATAATTGGAACTGTGAAAGGATTCTTGGTAAAATGTCCAGGGACAGTTAAGTTAATTTTTTGACCAAATGTCCAGGGACGGTTATTGAAATAAAGTGATTCGATTCGATTTGGAATTAGGTAGTGTAAATACAAATGTATGGCTATTTGAGTACCCAATGAAGCTTCAGTTTCAAGAGATTATTTCACAATGGATCGAACAGTATACAATGAAGAAACTTTCTTGACTTCTGAAACAGAACCTTAATTGGACGACGTTTTGAAAAGAGGAGATTTTTAGTATGGGAATTAAGGAGGAATAGATTATCTTATTTTATGAGTTTCTGTTTCCGCTACTATCGAAGAGCCAAGTTCATGGACTCCTTCACAAATACCGAAACAAGTAAATTAAAGTAAAGTTTGTTTTTTTTTCTATTTGGTAAGAAAGTTAATTTCATTACCGTTGTAAGAAGCAAAGTAAAAGTTGGTGTAAAAAAAAAAGTGATATTCTTTGTAAACATAAGGATTGTCTCAACTTGAGACTTTTCAGTTCATACCAAAAATCATTTGATTTTCTTTAGTTAAGATATTCTATTTGGGCGTCGGACTCTATATGGTCAACCACCCCTCTACTCTATCGTCAAACATCAACTCACTTTCGCAAGAAACAAATGAATTTGCATCAATAGCATGGCATAGTGAGGAAGGATATTTTAATTGAAAATTTGTGTATCGTATTGATTAAGTGGACGCAGTAAATATATTTTTGTATTATATTAATATGACCATTTAAAAGATAGCAATTGTACAAAATAAAAGTAACAAAATGTTAGTAAAAACATCCCTTGACTGGCATGCTCGTCGCCGAAACGCATTTTTTTTTAATCACCAAACTTATGAGACATTCTCTCGGGCTCGTAATTTTTTATTTATTATTTTTCTGGTCAGGTGTTCTCCCTGTCGATTTCCATGTTTCGTGTTCCTCCATGTCAAAGTATATATAAGTACTTTAGGCTCCCATCTCAAAACCAATGAGCAATGAGGGGAGTAGCGCATGGAGTTTATATATTGATGCTCAGAGTCTCCCAACACCAATGTGTGGTTGGGACTCTTTAATACTCCCCCGCAAGCCCAACTATTTTTTTTTGGGTTGAGCTTGTCCTATTTTTTCAGCCCAGACATCGCTTCACATCTGAACCCTATTTTTTTGTTGGGTTCTTTTGGAGTCTGAATGTTGGCGGGCTGGCTCTGATACCATATGAAAGCCCATAGGTTCCACCTGAAAACCAATTGGCAATGAGGGGAGTAGCCCATGGAGCTTATATATTGATACTCAAATCTCTCAATACCAATGTGGAGTTGGGACTCTTTGATACTCCAGACTCTAGAGACACCATGAGCATATGTGGCACAAACATACATCCCAAAGGATTTCAGAGCACTTATACACATCAACTCTAGCAAGAAGCTCAATGAAGGTTGTACTTGGACCAAGGTAAGCTTGTTCCAACTCTAGCAAGTGCATTTCGGAGCACTTATACACACCATAAATGATGAATGTTAAACCAACAACGAAAACCTGATTTTTTTTGTTTTCCATTACAATACATTATCAATATAAGAGATTCGGATCACTTTTTTGCAAACCATACATGAATATCGTCTCTTACGATTATTGTATCATCGCCTTCACATTCTTGTTACCAGAGGGGAATATTTATGTGTTTCTGATCATGATGGTGTTATTGTATTAATTATAGGAAAAAAGCCAAAAAGAAAGCTGGTGTTTGGTGCAAGCTGGTGGTGGCGGCAGAGGACAAGAGGATTGAGGATAGAGGATTCAAAGTTGGAAGCAGCAGGGAAAGAAGTGATTGTTAATTAGGGAAAGAGGTGGAGACTTTTTAAGGGTGGGAATTTTGCTAGCTACATAACTTAATATTTGAGGGGTGGGAGGTTGGATGGCAAGGGTTAGGATAGTTCGTGGTGCTAATCAATTTTCTTACGAGAAAGAAATGACTTAGAATAAGAAGCCCTTAATCTTTCTGTATTTAAGGCACAGTTAATGATGAAATGTTGGCTTCCATAACAGAACTTAATGATGAAATGTTGGCTTCCATAACAGAACTTCCATTTTCACTTTTGAACAAAGATTTCTAGTGTGGGAAGGGCTAGGCTGCCAGGGACGTACTTCCATTTGGATCATGAACTTTGCTCCTCAGTTTCCTCTAGTATAATTTTTATTTGGTAAATGGTAAATTTTCATTTCAACGCATCCGAACCAAGTTATGTACAACAAAACTTATTTACAACAAGATTCCTTACAGGTTTAGGAACCTAATGTCATGCCCACTACCATTTCTATAAAGCTTTGTAATCCTCCAGTTGATCTCAGTTTTCACCATGATCCATCTGTCCTTTGCTGCCATCTTCTTGTTGCCAAACTTTCTGCCATTCCTTTCAATCCAGATATAATATATGAGTGCATTCAGCCCTGCCTTGATCACATTTCTTCTCAACATTCTGAACTTCCAGATTCTCAAAATTTTGTTCAAGTTTAAGCTCTAAATTCTTGTCTGAATTCCCATCAATTGTCTCATTTCTTGCAACATTTCTGCTGAATATGGACATTCAAAGTACAGATGTGGCAATGTTTTATCCCTCTGGTTGCACAAAACATACGTTTATCAGTCATATCCACCTGCATATTCTGCAATCTATCAACAGTTAGGATTCTCCCCTTCCATACTAACCAGCTCAGGAAGACGTGTTTTGGTATTGACAGACTACACCAATTGATTGTGGCGGTTTTGCTCTTTTCTTTCTGTTCCTGCAGCCATCTATATCCTGATCCAGTGGTATATCCTCTGCCATTATTGCCTATCCACTTCCCATTGTTAACTCCATCTTTCAACAAATTTTTTACTTTAAGTAGCTTTTTCTTGTGCCAACTGCTATCATTAGGTGGATGACAAGACAAGATGGATTTACCTTTCAGGAAATATTGGTGCATCCATTTGATCCTTAAACTGTCTTTCTTCATTTCTAGGTCCCATAGTTGTTTCGCCATCAAAGCCTTATTCCATAATCCAGGCTCTTTCACATTCAAACCTCCTTCTGTCTTACTTTTACATACATCATTCCAGGATACTAGTGGCCAGCATTTTGCATAACCTTTCTCTCCCCATAAGAACTTTCTGCAGTGAGATGTTATTTGTTGGATCACTGATTGAGGAATGAAAAATATGCTAGACCAGTAAGTTTGTAGTGTCCTCAGGACTGGATTGATAAGCATTGTTCTTCCTGCATATGACAAATGCCTGGAAGTCCATCATTTGATCCTTGTTGTCAGTCTGTCAACCAGTATTTGACAATCAATTTTAGTCCAAGCAGTTGGTGAGAATGGTAATCCAAGGTATTTCATTGGAAAACTTCCCACCTCAAACCCCATGATCTGCTGGATTTGATCTTGCACGTGCTCTACTTGACCACCAAAATATATATTGGACTTTTGAAGATTGATCTGAAGAACAGTTGTGCCCGCAAACTAGTTCAAAACTTCCTTGATTCTCCTTGTTGTTCTTACATCAGCTCCACAAAATATAAGAAGATCATCAGCAAACCTCAAGGATGTGATCTTCATCTTTTCACAGTATGGATGCCACTTTAACCCTTCCTTTTCAACCACCATTTTAACCATTCTTGTGAGGTATTGCATAAACATAACAAATAAAAGTGGTGATATTGGGTCCCCTTGTCTCAACCCCCTTCTGCCATGAAAGAACCATGTTCTTCTGCCGTCCAAGTTTAGTGAATAACGACAAGTTGTTACCCCTTCCATTACCCACTGAATGAATCTTATAGGAATTCCAAATGCTACCGACATTTCTTGTATAAACTCCCAATGTACTGAGTCATAAGCTTTCTTCAAATCAACCTTCATTAGACAACTAGGCACTGCATTTTTGCTCTTATATAATCTAATCCACTCTTGAGCAAGAAGGATATTATGCAATATTAGTCTTCCTTGTACAAATCTCCTTGGTTCTGATCAATCAATTCAGGCAGTACAACACTCAATCTTTTACACAACATTTCAGATATGCATTTGTAGAAAGTATTGCAACAAGAGATGGGTCTATATTCAGTTGCGTCTTTAGGACGGTCATTTTTTGGAATCAAAGAGATAAGTGTGGAGTTCATCTGTTTCACGATCTTACCTGACTGGAAGAATTCCAACACTGCATTGCTGAATTCCTCTCCTATGATAGGCCACATTTTCATGTAGAAACCATTTTTATAACCATCTGGACTAGGACTCTGTTAATATCATTTTCAAACAAAGCTTCTTTGGCATCAGCTTTTGTAAAACTTTTATTCAGAAGAATCTGTTGAGTGATATTCAACTTCTTCCCTGAGTTAAAACCTTTACTTGATGCTGGAACTCTATCCACTTGTGTTCCTAATAATCCTTTGAAATATTCCACAAAGTGCTCTTCAACTTTCTGCCAATCATCAACTATTACACCAGCTGCGTTTGTAAACATTTTGATTTTATTTTTTATGGCGTTCTGCTTGATTGCTGCATGAAAGTAGCTTGTATTCATATCCCGCCCATTGATCCATTTCTCCTTCAACTTCTGAGACCAATAACTCATTACTGCGTTACTGTTATTGATATATTCCTCAGTGACCACCTTTTCTTCTTGTTGCAATACTTCATCTAGTGGACTAGGTTGCAAACTTTCTTGTATGAGATTCAACCTGAGTTTACATTCCTGCTCCTGTTCCTCAATACATGAGAATTGTTTCCTATATAATTCTCTCAGACCAGGCTTTAGCAATTTTTGTCTTTGTGCCAAT